CACCAGACACAAGTATTAAGCTGCTTACAGTTCATATGTACATATGGTGTACTTTATTTTCAGTAGAGCATTACATAGTATGAAAGTGTTGGATTTTGTACAGATGTCCCTGTATGTACAGAACTAAATAAAACCGATCTCTTGGAAAGACACATCGGACTCCCACCTCTGCTATTCCAACACCCAGCCCCCTTGTCCTGGGAGGAGGGGCCCGAGCGTGGAGGGGGACTTCTCCAGCACTCGACAGCGGGGGAATAAATCCATAAATCCAGTGTATGTCCCAAGGGAATGTGGGCAAAGCCGGCCGAGCCCCCTCCCTCCGCACGCACGTGGGTATGGAAACCGCTTGGGCTCCTCGGCGGCAGAGGGAGCCGACACGAGGACATCACAACCACTTAATCACCAGCCAGAACCAGGGAAGAGGAGCAGGAAGGGAAATGGGACAACGTCAGTGGGAGAAACAGTTAAAGGTCGATGCCGGCGAGTCCCGTCACCACCCGGCTCTAGCGGAGGGAGGGCTGGGGTCAGCAGCCCCCCACCCCACACCGCAGCTCGCCCCTCACTTCCACTCGGGCCTGGGGCCACCAAGGCTCTGGCGGGCCTGCAGCGTGCGCTGCACCACGTCCTTCCACTGGTCCTCTGAGATCTGGCTGGCCCAGGCAGGGATGCCCAGGGTGGGCAGCTTCACACCGGCCATCGTCCTCTTCACCAGCTCCACGTGCTCTGTGGCGACAAGAGGAGGAGGATGGTGAGACCCGTGGGCCGAGCCCCTGGGGAGCCCCGGCCGGGGGCACCACAGTTACCTGCATCCATGGGGATGGAGCTACGGCTGCTCTGAGCCGCGGCACCTTCCTCCGCCGCTGCCTCCTCCTCCTCGCTGTCCGCAGGTGGATCGGGCAGGTGCAGCCTCAGCATCTGCAGAGAGAGGCGGGCAGTGGCGGGGGGTCGGACCCCTTCCCTTCCTTTTCTTTTCCCTTCCCCTTCCCTTCCCCTTTCGCTTCCTTTCCCTTCTCCTTCCCTATCCCTTCCCCTTCCCTTCCTTTCCTTTCCCTTTCCCTTCTCCTTCCCTATCCCTTCCCCTTCCCTTCCTTTTTGCTTCCCCTTTCCTTTCCCTTTTCCTTTTCCTTTCCCTTTAGTTTCCCTTCCCTTTCCTTTTCCCTTCTCCTTCATTCCCCTTACTTTTCCCTTCCCTTTCCTTTTTCCTTCCCCTTGTCCTTCCCTTACCTTTCTTTTCCCTTCCCTTTTCCCTTCCTCTTCCTTCCCCTTCCCCTTCCATTCCCGTCCCCGGGACGCGCTGGGCGGTACCTGCAGCCGCTCCTGCAGGCCGGGGCCCGGCTCGGTGCAGCCGGTCGGGGCGGCGGTGGCGGCGGGGCCCGCCTCACCGGGGCCCTGCTCCGGCTCCTGGCTCAGCGGTTGGTACAAGTACCCGCCGCCGCCGCCGCTTTCCTCTTCCTCCTCCTCCTCCTCTTCCTCCTCATCGCCGCTCCAGCCCGCCGCACCCTCGGGGGCCTCCGGCGGCCCCGGTTCCTCAGGACACACCCGCTCCGGCCCCATACTCCGCACCACCGCCATCCACCGGGCGCGGCGCCGGGGGGAGGAGACCCCGCTGCCGCCCGGAAGCGCCTCCGCCGCGGGGCACTGTGGGTGTTGTAGTCCCGGAGCACCTACTTGGGTAGGGGGGGACCCGCCGCCGCGCTGCCCCCCGCCCTTTCGGGTGCCGCCCTACCGGGCCCGGCAGCATCGGCGGAGACCGGCCCCGTAGCGGGACAGGGCGAGGCGCCCCCCCCGGGGGGAAGGGAGAGGGGCGGTGGGGGCCTGGGCCTGCCACCCTCGGAGGGCCCCTGCGGGGCCGTACCGCCCCGGCGGGGGAGGGCGCCCGCGGTCCCGGGCGGGGCGGCGCCGGACTACAAATCCCAGGGAGCGGCGGGGACGGTCGTTGAAGCGGGGTTGCCGGGCCGCCTTCCCGCCGCCAGGTACGGGGCTGGGGCTGAGGGGGACCGGGGGCTGAGGGGGTCCGGGTGGCGGTGGAGCTGTGGTGGGGGGCTGGAGCTACCGCCGAGTCCCCCCCTCTGTGAGTGCTGAGCCCCCCTCCGTGAGGGCCGAGTCCGTCGCTGTCGGCCGTGGGGCGGCCCTGAGGGGGGTACCCGTGAGGGGGCTACCAGCCCACCCTCCCTCCGGGGGCTGCCCGCCGTCTCCTCGCCCCGCCGGGCCTTCCCCGCTCTGTCCCCGCGGGGCTCGGGGCCCTTGAGGCTCCCAGCCGGGCTTGGCCGTTGCGGTGGGTTCGGGGGACTTGGCGCCTGGGCCTTCCCAGTCCCCCTTTCCCCCCCCCGGCAGCGCCGAGGCCGGTACCGGGGAGCCCGGGTAATGGCTGGGCTCCTCGTTAAGCTGTCACCTCGGCTGCCCCCTGCCCGCTCCCTCCCGGGGGCGGCCGCCCTCGGCGGGGCAGAAACAGCTCGACCAGAGGCCGAGGGAGATTCCTGACAGGGAGGAAAGGGGACGAGGGGGTCAGGGAAGGGGCGGTGGGGTTTGGGGGGCGAGGTGGGGAAAGGAAAAAGGGTGGGGACCGGGGGCTGAGGGGGTCCGGGTGGCGGTGGAGCTGTGGTGGGGGGCTGGAGCTACCGCCGAGTCCCCCCCTCTGTGAGTGCTGAGCCCCCCTCCGTGAGGGCCGAGTCCGTCGCTGTCGGCCGTGGGGCGGCCCTGAGGGGGGTACCCGTGAGGGGGCTACCAGCCCACCCTCCCTCCGGGGGCTGCCCGCCGTCTCCTCGCCCCGCCGGGCCTTCCCCGCTCTGTCCCCGCGGGGCTCGGGGCCCTTGAGGCTCCCAGCCGGGCTTGGCCGTTGCGGTGGGTTCGGGGGACTTGGCGCCTGGGCCTTCCCAGTCCCCCTTTCCCCCCCCCGGCAGCGCCGAGGCCGGTACCGGGGAGCCCGGGTAATGGCTGGGCTCCTCGTTAAGCTGTCACCTCGGCTGCCCCCTGCCCGCTCCCTCCCGGGGGCGGCCGCCCTCGGCGGGGCAGAAACAGCTCGACCAGAGGCCGAGGGAGATTCCTGACAGGGAGGAAAGGGGACGAGGGGGTCAGGGAAGGGGCGGTGGGGTTTGGGGGGCGAGGTGGGGAAAGGAAAAAGGGTCTGGGATTGTCTGGGAAGCGGCGGTGGGGTTTGGGGGTGCGAGGTGAGGAAAGGGAGAAGGAGAAGGGATTATTCAGAAGCAGCAGTGGGGTTTAGGGGGCGAGGTGAGAAAAGGGAGGAGGGTCAGGGATTGTCTGGGAAGGGGTGATGGGGTTTGGGGGGCAAGGTGAGGAAAGGGAGAAGGAGAAGGGATTATTTGGAAGTGGCGGTGGGGTTTAGGGGGCGAGGTGAGGAAAGGAAAAAGGGTCTGGAATTGTCTGGGAAGGGGTGGTGGGGTTTGGGGGTATGAGGTGAGGAGAAGAAGGGATTATTCGGAAGCGGTGGTGGGGTTTGGGGGGCAAGGTAAGGAAAGGGAGGGAGAAGGGTCGGGATCTCTGGGAAGGGGTGGTAGGGTTTGGGTTTGAGGTGAGGAAAGGGAGAAGGGATTATTCGGAAGCAGCAGTGGGGTTTGGGGTCAAGGTGAGGAAAGGGAGGAGGGTCTGGGATTGTCTGGGAAGGGGCGATGGGGTTTGGGGGGCGAGGTGAAGAACAGGAGAAGGGTCAGGATCTTTGGGAAGGGGCGGTGGGGTTTGGGGGGTGAGGTGAGGAAAGGGAGAAGGTGCAGCATCTCAGCTGGGCTTGGGGGCAAAAGCCTGGCGGGGGGGTGGGCAAAATATTTGGGCAAAAATTAAGGAGAGGGGTGTCGGGGAGCTGTTTTAGCACCGTCTCGTTTACTGGCGCTGAAATTGCCTTGCCCGGTGTCCAAGCCTCTGAATGTGCAAGCTTGCAGTTTCAGGCTGCCTTAGCATAAATAGTCAAAGCATCAGATAAATGTCAGGCACGGGCGAAGAAAGCGGGCTGTTCTCGTGCTGTCGCTAACAGTAAGTTGGATGCGCTTGAAATAGAACGGTCTATATGGCCTGCTGTGAGCTGGCAGGGCTATTTTAGGTGTTACTAAACCTTGGGGCTGGCATCTTTTGGGAGACGGGGACCGAGGCGGCCACACGGTAGGATTTGCTCTCTGGAGAGAGCTTTGCAGGGGCAGTCGGGCTGCTGTGCTTGGGGTGGTGCTGTAATTCTGGGGGTGACAGAGCCAGCCCTTGAAAATCTGGGCCACCTTCTGCTGGGGTTCCCCCCTGCTTTGCTGTAGGAATTGACTGCAGCAAGGCTAAGCTGAGCAGCTTTCAGAAATGGCTCTGGGTTTCTTTCTGTGTGAGAAGAGGAACGAGGCAGCCCAGTGGGCTCCCTTTGCGCAAAGAAGCGGATCCAAGGATGTATATTTTTGTTCTGAGATTATCATCTGGGTGCTGTACTTGGGGGATGGTCAGCAGCTTCCTGTCTCGAATTAAATGTTTTCATAGTTACTGGTAGGGACTGAAAATAGAAAATCTGAAGCCAATAGAACAAACAGCTGAAAAATCTGACTGTAAAAACCATAATTACTGTTTGTTTGGGATTTTTTTTTTTCCCCAACTATGTTTGCTCAAGTCACCACAGCAGTTTGGGAAGGTATGCTAGTGGGAAATTGTGGAGAGGTTTTTCTGGTGGTCTCAGGTGGCTCTGTGCTGTGCTGGTAGACTCTTGTCAGGTGTAAACTCAGTTAGGAGGAAGGTTCTTTCAGGCGTTACGTGTGTCTTCAGACGACAGCGCAGCCAGAGATTTGGGAGTGTTGTCCATAGGTGCTGTATTCAAAGAGCTGACTTAAATTCTGATTGTTCCCTTGCTTAGTGCTGAAACGCCCCTGGGGAATTGCTGCTCTCCCTTTGCTGGCTGTCGACGCTGGTGAAGAACAAGGTGTCAAAGGGCGTCCATAGCTATTTCTCTGCTAACAGGCTTGTGATCTTCCACTTGTGGTCAGGTGTCACACCTGACCGCAGTGACAGAGCCAGCCTGTGGTCACCCCACGGCTCTTGTTGCACAACTTTACCCTGGAAGTTGTTACCTGGGCTTGTGGTGCTGCGGGAGGGCTTGGGGCATTTCTGTGGGACCACAGCAGGTTGTTTGGAGCGCTCTTTTAATTTTAGCCTCCCTGCGTTTGGTGGCACGGGAACAGCTCGTCGCTCTGCTCGCTTAATTTCCAGCATCATCAGCATCAGGTGCTTCAGCAGCAGGTGAAGTGGAACCTGATTTTTAGAAACGTTCTTATTCCTGGCAATTAATGACAGGATTTCAGGGTTTCAACCCGAATTTCCTCTGCATTCTCTGTGCTTGACTGTAACTCTGGATAAGATGATGCCAGACCAGGGAAATGGGGGGTCGTGAAGATTGGGTGGTTGCCTGTATGAGTGCAAAATGAAATGAACTAGATCTATTAGTTTTTTGGAGAGATGGAGAGCTGATGTGTGTATGGGTGAAAGCAAGTGGTGGCTTCAACACAAGTAGATGTGCTGCTCTCTGAAGGGACCCCGAGAGTGTGGATGTGTTGTGTACGTGTGTGTGTTCGGGAAGCCCCCCATGCATCGCTTCTCCCAGCTGAGATTTGGGGAAGAGAGGCAGCCAGAGCTTCCTGATGTAAGGTGAGGGAACACGTATGGAGCTAACAAAGCGTGTGGGAGCACAGTTTCCTTGGTTTTGTTCCATCTAGAAAAATCTTTCCCGGTTTAAGAAACCTGTGTTTGTTTTGACAGAGCTTTTTGGTCTCCCTGTAAGTATATAGTCATAGTTGCTGGGGGGCGTTGGGGCCCGATTCCAGCTGAACGTGCTAAATCTGAGATGCCTCAGACCTTCAACCAGCTTCTACTGTGGACACAGATGAACCACAGAGCCTGCTCTAAAAGAGGTGCAGCTCCAGGGAGGAAAGAGGTGGCTCAGCAGGATCCAGAAAAGGGACACAGGCTTAGCTCAGCGTCTGCAGGAATCCGTGGAGAAGGTGAGCCTTCTACAGTTGGGCTCCTCTGACTTTTGGCAGTAGCAATAACTTCTGTGACTTAAGTGATTCAAGCTTCACTTTTCCCCCGTGTGAGAGCCCTTTCTGTGATCTGTGATGAATGTGTCACCAACTGCCCCTGAGTGAAAAGCACCTGGTTTGCTTCAGCTTGGATGTGTGCCGCCCCAGTGCCCTCCTGGTTCTCTGGTACAATTTACCTCTTCTCAGTATTTTTGTGTTTTATAGCCTATCCCCCTGTTGCTGGTGTGCTAAACTTGAAATCAGAGAATGTATTTTGCGGCACTTAATGTTGTGTAGTTGGGAGAAATTGTTAATAAATTCTTTCGTAGCAGTTTTGCTGTTCCCTTCTCCCCCTGGCTGTGCCTCCTGTAATCCTTAACGAAATCTAAGGCAACGCCGCTTAATGTCAAGTGTATTAATGTCTCCTATTAAAAAGTCCTCATAGGAATGAGGTTGGAAAGGGGTGTATTGATGTCCTCCTTTATATCGTAGAAATCATCGTTGGAAAACAAAACCTGAACTGGAACTTAACAGCCTGCATAGTTGTAGGACAGAAAATAAAATCATTTTTTGAGGGAGGGGGGGGGAAAAGTCAACTTGTATTTGAAGATAGTGCAGAGAAGGGAGTTGCAGGAGGAAAATTGGCTTTGGGACAGAAGACTGCTCTGATGAAACGATTTCCAAGAAAGGCAGGAGAGGAGAGGCTGGAGCTGGATGCAGAAAGCATGGGGGGAAGCAGGGGGGTCCCCAGGAGACAGGGCTGTGAGGCTGCACAGGGAGGAGGACCTGTGTGTGGCCAAAAAGAGGAGAACAAGCACTTGGCAATGGCGGGAAGATGTTGTGACAGTTTTGGGGTTGGGTTGTGGCCGGTGGCAGAAGAGGAAGATGGAGTCTGGCTGGATGTTTTTGTGATGGCGTAGAGAAGAGAGCGCCCGGGTTTGGAAAAAAAAAAAAAAAATCCCTTGGCAGCTTGTTAAATCCTGTGTTTTCCTTTGCCTTTTAATATATGATCCTGTAAGGATTGCTTCACGCTGCTGATTGTTTTCTTTTCGTAAAGCGGACGAGCGTTTCTCCCCACCCTGGGTCTGTGGAGCAGCAGCAAGAGGCCGTGCTGACCCAGCTGTGTCTCTGCTCTGAAGGGGGATCCCCCCTCCCAAGCCCAGGTGAAACCTCAACCCCACCATACGTACCACCACCTGCCTCCTGGGAAGGGCTCACGTCTGGAAAAACCTTTCCCAGGAATTGTAATTGTAGGAAACTTAACATTGCAACATCACCAACATCATTTCCGACGGTGTAACCAGCTGGGCCTTGAGCTGCTGCCTCTTGGTTTGACCAGATTAATGGTTTAGGATGTGCAGCCTTCGTTTCCTATGATTAATCTTAATTATGAAGCCATTTGAGCAGGGTAGCCGGGCTCCTGTTGGGGTGGAAGGACCAACGTCCTGCTCCGGCAGTGGCATGCTCCTTTGGCATGCAGCTTGAGTCAGCTCCCAAGGGTGAAGAAGAGTTTTTTTTCCAAAAAAAAACCCCTCTTTTTTTGGCAAAAAGAAAAGGCAAGTGGCTTGGTAGGATTCCTGCAGGCCATGCCAGGCTGCTGTGCACCTCCAACCCCGGGAGGAGCCAAGTGGAGAACTTGGAAGTCGGAGTCATCCTCTTAATCTTCCAGGATCGGGCTCAGCCTGAAGGGTGTTGAAAATATTGACACCGGTGATAAAGTCCAGTTAAGCTCCTGTAAGAGGAGTCTCTTACAGAAACACTTAACCAAGAAGCGATTTGGAGGATAATATTGGTTTGATTTTTATTTTTTTTTTTTTTAGTGATAACTCATGACTGAGGCAAGAAACAGATTTAGAAATGTGAAGCCTTCGAAATAGCCTGAAAGGTGACTTTGGTGGTCTCCATGGAAACTCAAATGTTCTGTAGCTTTGCGGAGGATTTGTACAAGAGGTGCTGCCTGGCTTCAAAAAAAAAAAAAGTAATTAAAGAAAAACCCAACAAAACCAAACCTGCCAAATCTGAATTTGGGTTGGTCCCAGCCGTGCGGTGAAGCATGGCCTGTAGCAGAAGGAGGCTGTTCCTGGGCCCTTCTAGAGCAGCTCTGCTGGAGAAGAGCTTGAGATTACTTTTCTGGGTTGCTGGCGGCAGTTTAGGTGATGGTGGTTGCTGTTAAGAAGCAGTAGCTTCTCAGGAGGCATTCCTTGGTCCGTGGTTGTCCGTTACCAGACTGCAGGATGCTCTCTGTTCAGACTTTGCAGGTGTTCTGTTGCCATAATGTTCAGGTACAGAGCATGCTCTGACTGCCGGTCTCTATTTTGGGAAATTTCAAAAGGAATTACTCCCATTTTGTTGAGATTTTCTGAGATTGGGGGTGTTGGTGGACGAGAAGCTCACCATGAGCCGGCAGTGTGCACTGGCAGCCCAGAAAGCCAACCCCATCCTGGGCTGCATCAAGAGAAGTGTGGCTAGCAGGGCCAAGGAGGGGATTCTGCCCCTCTGCTCTGCGCTCCTGAGACCCCACCTGGAGCTCTGTGTCCAGCTCTGGAGTCCTCAGCACACGAAGGACATGGACCTGTTGGAACAGGTTCAGCAGAGGGCCACGAAGATGATCAGAGGGATGGTTATGCCTCTGCTATGGTTGAGAGAGTTGGGATTGTTCAGCCTGGAGAAGAGAAGGCTCTGGAGAGACCTTGGAGCAGCCTTCCAAGATCTGAAGGGAGCTCCAGGAGAGCTGGGGAGGGACTCTTTGTCAGGGAGTGCAGTGACAGGACAAGGGGGAACGGTTTTAAATTGGAAGAGGGGAGATTTAGATGAGATACCAGCAAGAAATTCTTTGCTGTGAGGGGGGTGAGGCACTGGAAGAGGTTGCCCAGAGAAGCTGTGGCTGCCCCGTCCCTGGAGGGGTTCAAGGCCAGACTGGATGGGGCTTGGAGCAACCTGGTCTGGTGGGAGGTGTCCGTGCCCAGGGCAGGGGGGTTGGAGCTTGATGATCTTTAAAGTCCCTTCAAACTCTCACCATTCTATGATTTAGGAGCTCTGGAATGAGGCGACTGGTTCCTGGGTATGGTTTTGAACTGGCTGTGGTCCGCGTGGCTGGAGCTGGAAGCCTGAGCTCTGTTCCATGCCCAGAGCTCCCTGTTGAGCTGCAACTCTGACTCTTTGTGCAGGTGGGGATAAAATGGAATTGTGCAGGTGGGAATTGTGTAGGAGCTGTTGGTGACCAGGCTGCTGGTGGGCCATAAGGATGCTTGGGTTGTGAGCGGTGGTTCTGCTTGGCTGAAGGACCGGAGGAGACCAGCCTCCTCGCTGCTCTCCAGCTACATCGGAAACTTTGAATGGGAGAAAAGTTCTCCTTGTGAAAACTTGCTGCTTTCCAAAAAAAGGACAGAGAAAATGTGTAGGAATTTTAGTCCTCGTTCTAAGGCATCTGCAAAAAGTCCCTGCATTCTGCAAATGCTAAAACTGGTTGTGGGGTGGGTGCGTGCTGACTGCATCTTCCAAGAAACTAGGACCAAGGAGTAAAAATGAGAATTTTCTTTAGGATGTCTGAAACTCTGATGTCTCGTCCAATGGCTGTTGTTCAGCTGGGGAAGAAACTGTTAAAGAATTGAACTGACCTCGCTTTTTCAGTCCTGGACAGGACGGTGCTCCATATTCTCAGATCCAGAGGGAATTCTCTGGAAAAAATCAGCTGCAGTGACTTCTCCAAGAACTGATTGAAGCCATCTGTTTGAAACATGAAACATACCAGTTTTTAACTGAGATATCATCAGGACAAGGGGTAACGGTTTTAAACTGAAAGAGGGGAGATTCAGATTAGATCTTAGGAAGAAATTCTTTGCTGTGAGGGTGGTGAGACACTGGAAGAGGTTGCCCAGAGAAGCTGTGGCTGCCCCATCCCTGGAGGGGTTCAAGGCCAGGCTGGATGGGGCTTGGAGCAACCTGGTCTGGTAGGAGGTGTCCCTGATCATGGCAGGGGGGCTGGAGCTGGATGATCTTTAAGGTCCCTTCCAACCCAAACCGTTCTATGATTCTATATGATGTTACAAAATTTTCATAGTTACATGTGGATTTTCTGGGGGGGGGAAGGCTTTATTCTGTTCATTAGCGAACAGCTTTCTCCCCAGACAAGGGTGTTTCTGGTCTCTTGTGTTTAATTAAGCTGGGCCCTCGTGCTCAAATCATTAAGTCCAAAAGCTAGTGGTTGTAGTCCACCCCAAATCATTGAGTCCAAAAGCTAGTGGTTGTAGTCCACCCCCGTAACTGGGAAGCCGGTTGCTTTAGGGAGGGTGTATTTCTTTGGGTGCTGGTGTTGGTTGTTTTTATCTATCTATTTTCCTCTGCTGCTTCTCACGACTGCCTCGGAGAGCGCGCTCTCTTCCCTCTGGCTCTGTTCTTTTCACCTTCACAGTTGGCTCTCGCCGTGTTTTCATTCATGCGGACAAATTGTTCTGGCGTGTACATGACCGGGGCACGGCCGGGCGCGCAGCACTCGCTTGCCTTTGCCAAAGGTGCTTGGCTTGGGCTGCCCCTGCGGCCACCCTGAGGTGGTGGTTTTTTATTTGGTAAGCGAGGACATCTCTGCTTTCTCTTCCCAGCCTTGCTCAGGTTTCGGTACCTGCCCCGTGTCTCCTTCCCAAGGAGAGAGTAAAACCATCTCCATTGGGAGGTAGATGAGTGATTTCCTCCCCCTCTGCTCTGCCCTGGGGAGGCCCCATCTGGAGCACTGGGACCAGTTGTGGGCTCCCCAGTTCCAGAAGGACAGGGAACTGCTGGAGAGGGGACAGCAGAGGGCTATGAAGATGATGAGGGGCCTGGAGCATCTCCCTTACGAGGAGAGGCTGAGGGACTTGGGTCTTTTTAGTCTGGAGAAGAGAAGGCTGAGGGGGGATCTGATCAATGCTTATAAATACTTAAAGGGAGGGTGTCAGGAGGATGGTGCCGGTCTTTTTTCAGTGGTGCCCAGGGACAGGACAAGAGGAAATGGGCACCAACTTGAATAGAATAAGTTCCACCTAAAGATGAGGAGGAACTTCTTTCCTGTGAGGGTACCAGAGCCCTGGCAGAGGCTGCCCAGGGAGGTGGTGGAGTCTCCTTCTCTGGAGACATTCAAACCCCACCTGGACACGTTCCTGTGCAACCTGCTCTGGGTGGACCTGCTTTGGCAGGGGGTTGGACTAGATGATCTTCCTTCTAACTCCATACCACTCTGTGATTCTGTGATACAGCAATGTGACCTTTGTGGTTGGTGTTCAAGGAAGGTAGGAAGACCTGTGAGATCGGTTGTGTCATTTTAGCATTCTGTCTCTCTTACAGAGCCAGGTGACGTGGTGGTGGCCCAGGAAGCATGCGGTTGTGGTGTTGGGGACCCTGAAGACTGGCTCGCAGGGAGGAATGCTACGGTGGGCAGTGCACTTGGAAGGTGGGCCGCGGAGGGTGAACCATGCGGCCGTGGCCGTTGGGCACAAAGTCTATTCCTTTGGTGGATATTGTTCTGGAGAAGACTATGAGACTCTGCGACAGATCGACGTCCATGTTTTCAATGCAGGTAAACGTGCGCTTGTGGTGGGCGAAGGAGTGGCTTGCTGGACTCGGTTATTGGTTTTCTTGCCCACTGCTCCTTAGCAACATACACTCTGTAACATGCTGTCTGACTCTTAATTTCCAAAAAAAAGTTACCAGTTTAGATGGGAGCCTCTTCCCTTGTGCAGCCCTGTATTTTCAGCTTCAGGGGCAGGGCGCGGAGGGCCTGTAGTTCAGCAGACTGCTGGGATAAGGACACCCTAGAAGTAACCACGTAGCCAGTGGTTTGGTTTGTCCTTGTTTGCCACAAACACTAACTCAACTAGGTGAAAAGAGGTGGTATTTAGCTGGCTAAGCGCCCCCCCCCCCCCCCCCTGTGACCATGCTCAGCTGCCCCTACCGTGCAAGGGGTAGGGTGGGAGCCCATGCACTCTGTTATGTCTCCGGGTTCAGACTCTTGAGCTGTTTCCCTGTGGGGGGAAACAGCACGATGGAGTCAGGAGGGGCACGTGGCTAGGATGGAGGCCTTCCCCTTTTGGCAGCAGCTGTGATGCAGATTCACAAGGTGGCTTAGCAAAGAAACGAGAGCTGGAGCTGTTTGTGTAGGGAAAGCCAGTATCTGTTAGGTGGCTGAGTCTGGAGGCCATGACTGTGGTGGGAGAGGGTAGGGTGTGTTTCTTGATTCAGTGCTCTTTGAACTGGAGAGGTTACTGAACAGGGAGGTGGCTGAAAAACTGCAGACGTGCTTGAATGGGTCCAGCTGAGCAGAGACAAGAGCGGAGAGCCAGTGACCAGTTTTGCAGACATGCTGAAAGCTCTCCTAAAACGCAGGTGGCATGTAGGTAAAACTAGTTTGTCTGTAAGATGCAGTGAATTGGCTCCTCTCAATCTGACTGTGGAGAAGACTGACTTGTGCAGTACTGGATGAAGGCCTTGGTTGCACAGGGCTGCCAAGGTAACCTGCTCATTTGCTCCTGTGCAACCTGCTCTGGGTGGACCTGCTCTGGCAGGAGGGTTGGACTAGATGATCTCCAGAGGTCCCTTCCAACCCCATGTGATTCTGTAGCTCAGGATCTTGTCAACAAGAGCATTTGTCTCTGTTCAGAGGCTGGGCTCTCGTGCTCAAGGCAGTTGAACATTGCAGCTTGTAAAACGTGACAGTAGAGCACTGCTCTTATGGTGGAAGCATAATTACTGTCCCCAAAGGAATGCTCTTGCATTGTCTTCCCTTCTTACCACTCCCAAATATTAAAGGGTCATGATGCTGCAGCCACCATGTGGGAGGTGGCACTGGCTTCCCAAGCCCTTGCTCAGTTAGCATTGCCAGGCTCCAGTGCTAAAGCCAAGATACCAACTTTTGGATGATTTCTATCCATCTTCCAAAGAGGCAGACTGTGCTTTAGGTAGGGAACATCCCTTCTAGCTTGACTTTAGCATTGGCTGTGCTTCCTCAGTACCCTTTCTGCCTCTGGGGTAAGATGCTCAGTGTTTTAAGATGCCTGAGCCTTTCACTTTCCCTATGTTAGTATTTCAGGCTGTTTTCTGCTACGTTTTGTGTTATCTCCACGTTGAAAACAGAACCGGAGGCTGTACGTGTGGTAGAGGGAGGGTGCGTGGGTGCTTTTATGTAATGGCCGTGTAACACTCGCTGTGACTCTTGCACTGTCATTAAACCCTGTAATACCTGTTGTCTGCTCTGGCCACCGATGAACATGACAATGCAGGCTGCCAGGAAGGAGAACCTGCAATCACAAGGAGCTCCTATTAGTAACACAAGGGTTAGCAGGAAGAACTCGGGTATGGATGGGGGTGAAGGAGGCAGACAGCTGGCTCATCTAAAGCCTAAAAACCAAAACAAAAGCAAACAAACCCTGTTGCTACAAAGCTGCTGTATTGCTTTGCTTAAACTGCACTACTCCAAGTCCAAACGATGCCTTCAGGTGGGTTCCCGTTGCTGCAGTGAATTATTTATTCCTGTGCTGCCCATTGTTCCAGCTTGGACTCTCTTCAAAAACATCACTAGCCTGAATTAGTGTTTGCATTCATTATCACCTCTGCACTTTTTCCTTTCCCCATTTTTTTTTTTTCTCTGTGTGTGTGTGTGTGTGCTGTACCTTCACTCACAGTCTAGGATGAGCCAGAGTGGAAACCTCTTCAGTATAACTGGTGCAGAATGGAGCCTATTTCTGTCCAGAGTCCTCTGGTGGTGCTTCTGCTCTCTCCTGTGACAAACTATGCTTCCATATTCCTTAAATAGCTACTACTCAGGGTCAGACACAGCTTTGTCTTCTTCACTAGACTGCTTCTCACCTCGTCACAGTGGGAGGAAAAAAAAGAGCCTTGCAGGATGAGCTGTGACCTGTGTGCACGTGTAGCGGGCTTAGCATTTGACATGGCCTCAAACTTCTGCTTTCAGTGTCTCTGCGCTGGATCAAGCTGCCTCCAGTGTGGACAAACAGCCGGGACCACGTGAGAGAGGTGCCCTACATGAGGTATGGGCACTCAGCAGTGCTCATAGATGACATCGTCTACATATGGGGCGGTCGCAACGACACTGAGGGAGCCTGCAACGTGCTTTATGCCTTTGATGTCAGTAAGTTCCAGCTTCTCACTCTTCTTTGTCACAACTGCCTTTGAGACCTTCTTTCTGCCCCATCGCCCTGCTCCCCGACTTGTTTTGCTCCTCAACAGTCTCTCAACAAAGTGACAGTCTGGAGTAAATGGTGCAAACGGGGAATTGGTGTTGCTGGCTGTAAGTTTAGAAGGGGAGCAAGGGTGGCCAACGTATCTGCACACTTGACTCTCTGTGAAAACCCTTGAACAGAGGTTACTGAGCTTGTCTAACAGTGGAACTGGTTTTAATTTTTCTGTCAGCCTTGTGTGCTCTCTCTGATAGTAAGTACAACTGAAGCGTTCTTTGTGTGTGACACATTATTCCTTACTGTGGCTGAAGGCTGCAGCAAGAAGGGGCTAGAAGCTCTCGAGGACTGCTGTTCCTCTGCAGGGTGGTCCTTCTTTCTGAAACACAAAGGGGAGTGAGGAATAAAACACCGTAGTAGTCAGGGACAGGATGGCAAAATAAGTGAAGGCATGAGTCAAGTTAGATAAATCTGAAAGATAAACTCCTCAAGCCTTTCAGTTGGCTTCTCCATAGTGCTGCTGGAGCACCTGGGGAGAGCAGGTACCAGCAGGAACCGGGTGGACAAGAGTGTCAGGAAAGGAAAGGAGTACATCTGGATTCTGGAGGCAAGTCCATCTAAATACTGACCAGTAACTGGTTTGCTGGGTTTGCAAGGAAACCACTCGCCCTGGTGCTTGGTCATGGATTCCCTTCTTCTCCAGGAAATGTCTCAGAGCTGCTCTCCGAGCGCAGGGTCTCCCCCTTCCCCTGACACATGCAGCTGGGAAGCCACCAGTAAAACCTCTGCCTATGCAGGGGCCTTGTAGTGGGAGCCGCCTGGTCTCCCTGCCAAACTCCAGCTCTTTAGCATGAAGTGAAAATTAAGGGAAAGGCCAGACTTCAGCCCTGCTCCAAAAACCCTCTGCAGCTGTCTGTACACGTTGTGCCTGTCCCCTGCCAATCCTGGAAAGTGAGGCTGGCAGTCACAGTCCTGCATCTGTGGTGCAAGTTCCACCCTGGGAGTTGCATCAGGCTGGATAAAGTCCTGACTGAGTGCAATTTTTGTCCCCGGGGTTACCGAGCAGATCACAAGTCGAGGTCTTTGCCACCTCTAAGGTGATGTGTTGGGTGAGCTCTTGCTGCTACCCTGTGACTGGGCTCGGAAGCAGCCCCGTGAAGGGAAGGAACTCGATAGCCCCTGCAGCTTTCTCACTAGAGGCTGCCCAGGGATTCTTGTTGACCTTGCAAGCCCCTTTGTCTGGTTCCAGCTGGAGCCTGAGGTGGATCCCTGTGGCCGCGGGCCAAGTTCAGAGAAGTTACCCTCGTGAAGAATTTTCCTTTGGCTCCAATATTATCACCTCCTGAAATAAGCGCCGCTCTTGGCAGCTTGCAGTGAGGGAGGGTGGTGGGAATGTCTCTTGCTGCCTTGGGGCTTATCTGTGCCTCTCCGGGCTCTCGGGACAGGTGCCTGTTTGCACTTGGCAGCGAGTCACTGGCTTGGCTCCATGTTGCCCTGGCACGGAGCACAGCTCTGGCTGGATTTTTAAAGTCCTCTCCTAAATCAAGCCAACCCCTGGGGCTTGCCGGGCTAAGGGGCTGAATCCAGCCGGTGCAGGGACATGGGGGAGCGACACGAAGGGAAAACAGTGAAGGGTGTAGAGCGAGGAAGGCTCCCCTCAAAGAGGGGACGTGACTGGAACAAGCAGGAGGAGATAAGATAGGGAGAGCTGGGCTGTAGAGGTGGGGATGTACGCAGTAGCTCTGTTGACGCGATGAGCTTGTGGTTAAAGTGACTTCATGCCTGGATTGGAGAGCTGTTTTCCCTCGGTGGGTTAGTCAGCATCCCCGCGCCGGGAGGTCAGTTCAGCCACTTAGTGTCCTTGCTTCGTTGTAATTGCAAGCTGTAAATGCGGAGTTGATACGTGACTCCCAAGTAGGCTTTGCAAGGGATTAAATAAAAATAACATTGCTCAAGCAGTGCTGTGCTACTCACACTTAAAACGTGAGCTGGTTTTGGTCAGGTCAGACAGAGTCAGCGGCCGTGCCCAGGACCTGAGACCTCTGTCCCCGAGGTCTGTGGACCTCTGTCACTCCACTCTGCGGAGGTTTGGGCAGGTAGCCTTGCCTGAAAGAAGCCTGCAGCCTCTCCGGAGAAGCAGGTGCCGTGGGTGAAAGAGAGAAGGATTTCTGTCTTAAAAATGCAAAACGGTAGTAAAGAGCTATCCCATCCCAACGCCTACTGTATTTTCTTAGCGCTGCCTCCCGTTTTGTTTCAGACACGCACAAGTGGTTCACGCCAAAGGTGTCTGGAATGGTCCCAGGAGCGAGAGATGGGCACTCAGCTTGTGTCCTGGCAAAGAGCATGTTTATCTTCGGAGGCTATGAACAGCTGGTGAGTTAGTCTCTCTAACTGTTATTTGGCAATCCTGTTGGGAAAGAGGGTGTTCCTACCCGGGACATCGGTGTAGAGAGTAGACAGGGGCATGTTTGTGTCCATAGTTGCTTTCATTTTATAACTTGGCAAAGTTACGGCATTAATCACCCAGGTTATGCTCGTTGTTTTGCAGAGAAGATGGTTGGGAAAGTAGGCCTAAAAAAATGTTAAGACTTTTTTTCTTCCCCAAACATACAGAGGTAAAAATATAGATTTGATTTTTTTTTTCTTTTATATATATATTTTTTTTTCTGGCTTATCCCTCAGCCAAATTCAGGTAGATAAATACGTAACATTTTTAACAAATATATATTGATCTATGTTTACTTCAGTTTGGCTGAGAAATGAGCCAGAAAAGTCACTTTCCAATGTCTGCAGTGTTGCTGCGAGGTTTTGTCCTAATCTGGGGCATGTTCCCTATATTCTATACCTGCTCTCACGTCTTGCTGATGCCCTCCATGAAACACTTGCCCTCCCATTAAGAATACCTGGAGCTATAGGTCATCCTGCGCTGGCTGTCAGCGTGTCTAATGCTCCTTTGAGCAAATCCTTACGTGCTAATCTTTGGAAGTGGGTAAATGTCATTCCAGCCTACTGCCAAGCTCCAGAAAACCTCTGCAAAGTCACATCTATTTATTTGGAAGAAATCTGGGTAATCTTAGCTTCTACTTCTCAATCAGGTGGCCTTAGCAAAGCCAGTTAGTGCCCCTTTCTTCTGTCACTGCACGGAGCAGAGGCAGGGTTCTGCTGTGACTTGTTTGCAGGACAGCCTTGGGGGAAGGAAGTGAAGACCAAATAAATAGGAAGGCTCAGGGAGATACGCAATACTTTGGAGAAGAAATGGGCTTTGCCTCCCTCTTGTTAAGTGTGCTGCCTACCCCGACCTTTTGGAGCAAGCACCATGTCTTTTAGGAAGTCCTGACTCCAAAGGGATACTCCAAGGCTGTAGGACAACATCTTTCCTGGGACCAGATGTGACCAGGCTGCTCTGTTGTCTTCCAGGCTGACTGCTTTTCGAATGATATCCATAAATTGGACACCACAAACATGATGTGGACCTTAATCTCTGCCAAGGTCAGTGTCTGTTTTTCACTCTGGGTTGGGGAGGATATCTCATACCTGCTGTTCTCTGGGATAGCTGCCCACGCTTGTCTCACAGCTTCTGTCTGCTGTGGCTGGGATCTGCAGGAGGGGAAGTTCTCCAGGAGAAGGCAGCCACCCCATCTCCTCCCTCAAGATGTGTCATCTCCCTGGTTAGTGTGCATTCTTTCTCTTACTCTGTTTTACTCTGTCCCTGCAGGGTACACCAGCTCGCTGGAGAGATTTCCATTCAGCTACCATCATTGGAACAAAGATGTATGTGTTTGGTGGCAGAGCTGATCGTTTTGGGCCCTTTCACTCCAACAATGAGATCTACTGCAACCGCATTAAAGTTTTTGATACAGAAACAAACTCCTGGCTGGACTCTCCTCCAACTCCGGTGCTACCTGAAGGCCGGCGGAGCCATTCAGCATGTGAGTGTGGCTCTGCTGAGCCAGGAGGACAGTGGAAGGAAATTCCTGCCTGCTTCAGAAGGGGTGTTGGGTCTGCTGGGTGGAGATGTGGGGGGTGGAGAGGGCCTGGCTTCTGTGGAAAGCCGCTGCCCACCAAAAAGCCTTGCACGTAGCCCTGCATGTGAAGGTGATGTAAGCAAAAGTGGATAACCAGCACCATTTTGCTCTGTGTTTGATGTTGGGAGAGGGACCTGCTTGGGCTCTACCTTGGGTGGCACGCTGATGTCTATGCTTACTCCCCACAGTCAGCTACAACGGGGAGCTGTATGTATTTGGTGGCTACAACGCACGCCTGAACAGACATTTCCACGACCTCTGGAAATTCAATCCAGGTATTTATGCTTTTAACTTCTTGCAGTGATCATGCTCAAGGCCCTCAAGTGTGTTGGGTGTGCTCTCTCCAAGGGCTAGAAGCCGGCCTGGGGGAATGGCTCTTCTGACAGCATCGATATGAACTTGCTACCGTGCTTGGGACCCCTGTTCCTCCTCAGCCTGTCTCCAAATTTCAGTTAGAAAGTGTTAAAGTGTTGCTGAAAGACACAGCTAATCAAAGGGTGGTTGGCAAAACTTTGTCTTCTTAAATATGCAGAATTGTTGGCAGAAAAGATGATACAGAGAAGCAATGGGGTTTGGGGAGCCAGAGACCATAGCTAGGGAAACCACTCAACTTGAGCTGCAGGATCACCATACCACTCTCTCTTCACTGAATTTTCACTGAATTTCACTGAGTTTTTAGAGTTGGAAAGGACCATAGATCATCTAGTCCAACTCCCCTGCTGAAGCAGGATTGCCTAGAGCTTGTCAGAGCATGTTACTCAGGAGCATCCAGGTGGGGCTTGAAGATCTCCAGAGAAGGGGACTCCACGACCTCCCTGGGCAGCCTCTGCCAGGGCTCTGTCACCCTCACTGTGAAGTTTTTCCTCAGATTTGAGTGGAACCTCTTATGTTCCAGCTTGTGCCCGTTGCCCCTCATCCTCTCACTGGGAACCACTGAAAAGAGTCTGGTTCCATCCTCCTTCGACCCACCCTTTAGGTACTTATAGGCATTGATAAGGTCTCCCCTCAGCCTTCTCTTCTCCAGACTAAAGAGCTCCAGCTCTCTCAGCCTTTCCTCATCAGGGAGATGCTCCAATCCCTCCAGCATCTTTGTTGCCCTACACTGGACTCTCTCCAGCAGTTCCCTGTCTCTCTTGAACTGGGGAGCCCAGAACTGGACGCAGGATTCCAGTTGTGGCCTCCCCAGTGCAGAGCAGAGGGGGAGAATGACCTCCCTCCACCTCCTGGCCACACTCTTCCCTCTGCAGCCCAGGATCCCATTGGCCCTCTTGGCCACAAGAGCACACTGCTTGCTCATTGTCATTTTGATCTTGTACCAGACCCAACTGTGCAGCAGAAGGGGTATTTCTTCAGCTGGTACCCTGAATATCAGTCAACCTGTGAGCTGCTTCTGGGTCCTCAGACGCTTTTTGCAGTCCGTTAGACTGATTTTTTGTTTCCTAATTGCTTTGTGTAGCAAAGTTACCTCAGAGCAGCCAACTTGCGGCTGCCCAAGCTGATCTAGGAGCTAGTGTGAGAGCTCCTGAAGGTTTCAGTGCTGTGCGTTAGTGATTAATCACTCCTCAGCATCCTTGCCACAGAGAGCAGCAAGGACAAAGGCTGCTGTCTTCTCCTCCATCTGGTCCTGCTTCCCTCACACAGGCGAGCTGTCTGCCAGGACGCTCTGCATTCCCAATGGCTGCCAGCAGATGGAGCTGGCTCCTGGGTCTTCTCCCTCCAGACCAGGACCTCGGCAGGGTGCTGGGGGCAGGAGGCTGCCTGCTCACACAAATTCACAGATTCTTCATGGTTAGAAAGGACCTCTGAGATCACCGAGTCCAACCATACACACAAAAAAGAGCCCCACAATCTCGGGCACTAGAGCACGCCCTGAAGTGCCATGTCTATACATTTCGTAAATCCCTCCAGGGATGGGGACTCCACCACCTCCCTGGGCAGGCTCTTCCAGTGCCTGACCACCCTCTCAGCAAAGTCATTCTTCCCAATATCTCATCTAACCCTCCCCTGCCCCAACTTCAGACCATTTCCTCTGCTCCTGTCCTTATTCCCTTGGGAGAAGAGGCCAACCCCCACCTCTCTACACCCTCCTTTCAGGGAGTCGTAGAGGGCAATGAGGTCTCCCCTCAGCCTCCTCCTCTCCAAACTAAACATGCCCAGTTCCCTCAGCCTCTCCTCGTAGGATTTGTTCTCCAGACCCCTCATCAGCTTGGTGGCTCTCCTCTGGACATGCTCCAGTGCTCAATGTCCTTCTTGTAGTGAGGGGCCCAGAACTGAACCCAGCCCTGGAGGTGAGGCCTCACCAGTGCCCAGGACAGAGGCACCATCACTGCCCTGCTCCTGCTGGCCACACTGGTCCTGATACAAGCCAGGATGCTGTTGGCCTTCTTGGCTACCTGGGCACTCTACTGGCTCCTGTTCAGCCGGCTGTCCACCAACACCCCCAGGTCCTTTTCTTCTGGGCAGCTTTCCAGCCACTCTTCCCCCAGCCTGTAGTGTTGTTTGGGAGCTCTGGAGCTCTGCCCCGTACCAAGGTCCCTGTGACGTCCGACCGTGGCAGCCTGTGGGTCCTGGCACCCAGGCTTTGCCAAGGAAAAGGCAAACCTTTCAAAACCTGCAACTCCCGTCTCAGCAGGTCGTGCCTGGCATCTGAGCAACCCTCTAGTAACAGTACCAAGGTCCCTGTGACGTCCGACCGTGGCAGCCTGTGGGTCCTGGCACCCAGGCTTTGCCAAGGAAAAGGCAAACCTTTCAAAACCTGCAACTCCCGTCTCAGCAGGTCGTGCCTGGCATCTGAGCAACCCTCTAGTAACAACCTCATGGAAGTGCATCATTTTGTCGCTAGCGAGGAGGCGGACAGGGAGGGTGGATGTTGGTTAGATGACATCTGTGGGGCAGCAGGCCTCCTGTTTTGCTGTGATCCGTTTAAAATCCATAACCTGCTTTATACCCAGATCTTGGCCAGGCTCTTGTGACAAGCTGCTGCACTCTTTTTCTTCCACCCTTTAGTTTCTCTTTCTTGGAGGAAGATCGAGCCCAAGGGGAAAGGCCCATGTCCTCGACGCCGGCAGTGCTGCTGCAGAGTGGGGGACAAAATCATTCTCTTTGGAGGCACCAGGTGAGTTGTGTGGGGTGGCTCTGGGAGAGGCTTTGCTGTTCCTTTCGGCACAGCGTCCCTCCATGCTCTTCCCCGTGCTGTAGCTGTAGCCAGATGCACTTGAGAGGCACAGGACAACTGCCTCCATCTACCTTACAAGTGTAAGAAATCGTGGAGATTTTAAAAAAGCTGAAGGGGGGGATTAAAGATGTGATGTAAGATTGTAAAGCACCTGGTGACAAGCCTCCTTGCACCAGTAGAGGCAGGAGTATGGAACATGCTGTTCAGAGGGAGCCGTGCAGTCGTCAAGCTTTCTGTGAGAGATGTGGTGGGGAGTTGGGGAGGAGATCCTGCCATCAGAAGGACACGTGTCCTGCTCTGCTCTGCTCTAGCTGATCTCAGACTAGCTTCCCCTCCCCTACAAGCTGCCCTGCTTCTCCCACCAGTTTGTTTCTTTCATTGGAAAGTGGGGGGTCAGCTCAGCCGAGAGCTCTTTGAGGAGCCCATACACATGACAAGGCAACGTTTCCTTCTGTGCCAGTGTTCCTCAGCAAAGTTTCCATTCACAAAAGGGACCTGGTGTTAAGGATTTAGCTGTCAAACACTGGAAGTGATACTGTCAGGGTGTGGGACAGTTGGCTGCGGCCAAAAGCCATAACAGCTGCTAGAAGAAAGGAAGTGGCCCATCACCAGGACACTCTGTGCTGTCTGGAATGACAAATTGCAGCTCTGGAGCAGAAACCCTGTTTGCCAGCATCTACCTTGCAGACACATCTGAAATGCTTTCAGCCCTCCACGTGGTTTGGAAAACTTCAGGGATTTCTCTGGGATGGTGGATTTTCGGAGATACTTGTGAAGACAGGTTGGGGCAGAGGACAAGGTGGGACAGGTTCTGCTGGTGGGCTGACCTATAGCAGTGTGTGATGGAGTCAAGGGCCTTCAAGGGGGTGCTTGGGGGGTGTGTGGTTGGTTGTAGAATGTCCGTGTGGGTGTGAGGGACTGCTTAGTGCAGGTGAGGTGTGCGGAGGCGCTGAGTTTATCTAGTCTCCTCAACAGATACTGCGTGCTGCGCTGTCCAGTAGGAGGCTTGGTAGGGCTTGATGGCAGTTTTGGATGCTCTCGGGTGCTTCAGTGTGAATTTGTGTTACAGCAGCAGCCAACCTCTGACGTTAAACCCAGGCACTCCTTGGAAATGCCAGCAAGCCACGACAAATGTGACAGCAGCCTTTTGGAGTTTGGTTTACCTCTGCCAGCCAGGCAAGGCAGCAGCACCCTCTTCTTTTTCACTGAACGCCTTCTGTGTTCAATTTGTCCCTTAATCCAAGCTCAACCCCGACGCAGGCCGGTTCATCAGCGCTGCTTTGGGACGGGAAGAGCTGCTGGCAGCCAGGAATGCAGCCTGTTTGGACTGGAGGGGAGGGTCTTGCAGGCTGGGGAAGGAGTACAGAGAGAGAGAGAGGACTGTGCTCGCTTCCTGTAACAGTTATCAGGTGTATTCTGGAGCTGCCTGGCGAGATAAGAAGTTTTCCAGGAAGTCGTTGTAATGGAGAACTCCCTGTGGTCCTGCCTCCTGACCTGCCCTCCCTGCCTGGGGAGGGGGAGGGGGTGAGCACGGCGCAGGGGGTCTGGCAGGGGCTCCTTGGAGGATGAGCCAGAAAAATCCCTTTTGTGTCCTGCCTTTCCTTACAGGATTCACGTGCGCTGTTCAAGAGGCCCTTCTGCAGGGTGCCTGCTCCTGTAGCATCCAAAAGCTCGGTTTCTTTCCTAGTCCTGCCCCAGCTGAGGTGTCTCGCTGTGGCCAGCAGCAATCCTGTCACTTGTGTCCCATTCAAGTCACCAGGAAGTCATGTAGCTCTAAGCTCAGTGTTCAAGTCGAAGCTGGGGAGCCCTGGTCTGGTTTCTTCTTGAACCCACCAGCACTTAAGCATATGGGGACCATCAACAAAGGGGAATGAGGGGGAGAGGGAACACTCAGTCACAACAACCCCAGGCAGCGCTACAGGCTTGGGGAAGAGTGGCTGGGAAGCTGCCCAGAAGAAAAGGACCTGGGGGTGTTGGTGGACAGCCGGCTGAACAGGAGCCAGCAGTGTGTCCAGGTGGCCAAGAAGGCCAACAGCATCCTGGCTTGGATCAGGACCAGTGTGGCCAGCAGGAGCAGGGCAGTGATGGTGCCTCTGTCCTGGGCACTGGTGAGGCCTCACCTCGAGGGCTGGGTTCAGTTCTGGGCCCCTCACTACAAGAAGGACATTGAGGTGCTGGAGCGTGTCCAGAGGAGAGCCATCAAGGTGGTGAGGGGTCTGGAGAACAAATCCTACGAGGAGAGGCTGAGGGAGCTGGGCATGTTTAGTTTGGAGAAGAGGAGGCTGAGGGGAGACCTCATTGCCCTCTACGACTCCCTGAAAGGAGGGTGTAGAGAGGTGGGGGTTGGCCTCTTCTCCCAAGGGAATAAGGACAGGAGCAGAGGAAATGGTCTGAAGTTGGGGCAGGGGAGGTTTAGATGAGATATTGGGAAGAATGACTTTGCTGAGAGGGTGGTCAGGCACTGGAAGAGCCTGCCCAGGGAGGTGGTGGAGTCACCATCCCCGGAGGTATTTATGAAATGTGTAGACATGGCACTTCAGGGCGTGCTCTAGTGCCTGAGATTGTTGGTTTGTGTCTGTTTGTGAGGTTGGTTGGTTTGGGGTTTTTTTTTTTGGTTTGGTTTTTTTTGTGGTTGGACTGGATGATCTCAAAGGTCCTTTCCAACTGCAAAGATTCTGTGACTAAAACGGAGTTTAGCTGAAGAGGTGCTGATCCTGGTTTGGCTCCAGGCTGTGTCTTCCCTGGCAAGGCTTAGAAATGCCTGGCACTGGTGAGGGCGCAGGGGCTCTCGCCGGGTGCTTGTTGCAAGGTCCAAGAGTGTTTGCCAAGGTGCTGGAGTTGCCCTGCAGCTGGAACCAGCAGTTTTGCCAAACTCTGGCTGGCAAAGGGCTGCCCTGCACCCTGCCTCTGGCACCCTGCCAGAGTTGTGGCTCTCCTGGTCTTGAACTCCAGGCTTTCCCCTAGCTGCTTGCAGTTTGGAGATTAAAACCACAGACATGGTGCCTGCTGGCTTTCCTTTGTAAGATAAGGGATGGTCTAGGGTTTCCTGTGACGTGGATGTGAGATTAGATTGCGGTGTGGTGAGCTCGCAGGGGTGGAATTAAAGGGCCTCTTGCCCGTATCCGGGCAGATGGGAGCCATCAGCAACGGGTCTTCCCTGCCAGCAGTGAGCTGTGCCCCCCAGTTTGTGCTGGGAGGAGGGGGGGAGGAAGGGGGAGCAAGTACTGTCTCATGTCCCGTGAGGTGTGAAGCTTAGTGGATCATAGGTGGGGAAGCAAGTGACACTGAGGTGAGAAGTCACTGCATGAGGTCCCTAAGAAGTGAGGACACACTAAATTGCCTTGTGACAAACCAAAGCAGGACTTAAACTGCCTTTCCTTTCTTTCAAATTCTCCAAACGGCCATGGGGAGTGCTTTCCCCTGGTCCAAGCATGACTGTTGCAGCACAGGCTGGTGTCTCTGTGCTAGGGGAGGCAGTGACCAGTCTCTAAGGTGATTTGGCTGTTCCATCAAGACCTCAGAGGCAGGAAACCATAGGTGAAGCTGTCTGTTCTCTACAAATGCCTGAAGATGCAGTTCCTCACTAGTCCAGGACCAACATCAGATGGGAGTATGAACAAATTTGGATTAGTTCCTCACTAGTCCAGGACATCAGATGGGAGTATGAACAAATTTGGATTGGTTTAACACGACAGCTGCACTGGTCAGTGCATGACACATGTTCAGTTACAGCCTTCTGAAATCACGGAATTGTTGGAGTTGGAAGGAACCTTCTAGAGATCCTCCAGTCCAACTCCCCTGCCAAAGCAGGGCTGCCCAGGGCACATCACTCAGGAGCATCCAGGCAGGGCTTGAAGATCTCCAGAGAAGGGGACTCCACCACCTCCCTGGGCAGCCTCTGCCAGGGCTCTGCCACCCTCACCCCAAAGAAGTTCTTCCTCAGATTGGAGTGGAACTTCCCATGGTCCAGCTTGTGCCCGTTGCCCCTCGTCCTGTCACTGGGAACCACTGGAAAGAGTCCAGCTCCATCCTCCCTCAACCCACCCTTTAGATCCTTGTCAGCATGAAGAAGGTCTCCCCTCAGCCTTCTCTTCTCCAGGCTCAAGAGCCCCAGCTCTCTCAGCCTTTCCTCATCAGGGAGATGCTCCAATCCCTCCAGCATCTCTGTTGCCCTATGCTGGTGTCTCTCCAGTAGTTCCCCGTCCCTCTTGAACTGGGGAGCCCAGAACTGGACGCAGGATTCCAGTTGTGGCCTCCCCAGTGCAGAGCAGAGGGGGAGAAGTCAGCCCAATTCTCTGGAGTCACAACCCGGGAGCTGTGGAGCCCGATTCTCTGGAGTCACAACCCGGGAGCTGTGGCTGGAGCCCACAGCGATTCCCGAGTCAGACTGAGAAGTGGCTGTCCTTGCCCTGCCATGCAGATGTTTCCCAGCTGCTTTCTCTAGGCTTCTCTTAAAACACCTCAGTGGCCGTGCTGCAGTGGTTGCAGTAGACCTTAACCTCCTGAGGGCTGGGGCGATGAACAGCCTGTGGCTGGGCACAATCTCTTTCAAACCTCATGCTGTGGCGGGAGGCACACAGCTCCAGCTTCTGCAGCAGAACCCAAAAGCAGTCCCAAGTGCTGGGCTGGTCAGAGGAATGCCAGCTAATTTAAAAAAAAAAAAAAAAAAAAAAGGATGTTTTTCTGGCAGCAGCTTGAACTTCTGCAAAGCACCTTTCCTGTTGTCCACTGGGCTTATCACACTGGGACCAGTGCAGCGCTGGGGCAGCGTGGTCCAGCGTGTTGCTGCCTGTGTCCCCCCAGCAGCATGGGTGCTCCTGAGAGCTCCCAGACAGGAGGATCTAGCTCACAGGTTTCCATGGTGCCGTGCTTTGGGCAAACCGGGACGACACACGGCATGACTCATGAGTAACATATGGCGTGTGGCAGCCCTGCAGATGTCTCCTGCAGCCATGGGGAGCTAGAGCTGAGGTGGGCAGGGATGGCACAGCAGCGTTGTCCTGCTGCATACGGCTCCTCTTGTTGCTTCTGCAGGCTGCAGGACAATTTGGATGGCCACTAGCTACTTGCTGAGCCTGCCACCATCTCTGGTGGATACAGGTCATGGCTCCCATGATCTGCGCCCCTCCAGCACAACTAGAGAGCCTTGCAAAAAGTCTTCTTGGGTCTCCAGCTCATCTCACCTACCTCACTGGGGGACACCAGCACAGCTTTTTTGGACTTTGTGCTGTGCCACCGTGCGGTGTCTGGTTCTTCCTAGATCAGTTACCTGTCCCATGTGATGTTCTTCCAAATTCTTGTATTTCCCATTGTATGCCTTCCCTTGGCCATGAGGTGAAGCTGGCCTGAGGTCCGTAAAAGGACACAGTGAGGGCTGTGCCGTGCTGCCCCATGTGGTGTTTGGGACCAGGTAGGGTTGGGCTGACCCCTTCCTGCCCAGGCAGTTTTGTCTGTCTGTGTTTCCTGACATGTTACTAGGGCAGCCTTCCATGGTACAGCACTGCTGGGAAGGTGGTTAGTCTCCGGCAGTGCTCTGGGTTCTCCAGGGGATGCTGTAACATCCCTTCTCCAGCCTGCTCAGAGTCATCCTCAGCCTCATCCCGGGGTTCAGCTTTGCCTCTCTGAGTAGAGCTTTTTGGAGGGTGGGATCCAGTGGAATTGCAGAGCAAACAGAGCCCTGAAACAAGCTTCTGGTCTGGAGACAGCTGTTTCCCATCACCCTTCTCATGCCCCGAAGGTGGGTGCCACAGTTCTGGGAGAGGCCCCGAGGTTGCTCAGTTGTTGGAGAGTGTTTTGGGAGGAACCTGGGGAAGGAGGAGGGTGAAACCAGCCAGAAGCTTGTCAATGTACAAGAAGGGAAAAGGGTCGTTCCCTGTAAAGTGGGACCTGTGTTTGGAGATGCAGCAAAGTAACAGAGGCAGGTGAGGTGAGGGGGAGGCTTGCAGCTGGAGTCATCGTGGCCGTGTGTGAAGAGGTGGCAGCTCCTCCATTCCCTAGCTTGCAGAGGAGATGGTGTGTGTTTGTGCCCCCCTGACTCTGTGCAGCTCTCTGAGGAGCTGGGAGAGCGATGGCTTTGGGTGCTGCTGGGGGAAGCAGAGGGACAGGAGGGATCAGAGGGCCCCAAGATGGGGCAGGCAGGCAGGCCAGGAACAGTCCTGGGGTTGCTCAGTCCGTGGAGAACCCAAGGGACCATAACCGGTGTACAAGCGTTTTGACAACTGACTGACCCACTTTGTTTGGCTTCTGCAGCCCGTCTCCAGAGGAAGGAATGGGTGATGAATTCGACCTGATGGATCACTCGGATCTCTACATCCTCGACTTCAGTACGTGAGCCCTCCCTGCCCAGCTTGCACCTCTCACCACGAGGTGCCCTGTGAGCAGGCCCTGCTGTGAAGCACTGTACCGTGTCCTACCTGGCTCTAGGTCCCTGCCTCTAGGAGCCACATGGCTGTCTCTGGCTGGTGTACATGCTTTAAGGCTGACCAGCTGGAGATGCAGCTGCACTTGTGGGCCTGAGCCGGGCTCATGGCTCTTCATGCACTCACAGAATTGTCAGAGTTGGAAGGGACCTTCTAGAGATCCTCCAGTCCAACTCTCCTGCCAAAGCAGGGCTGCCCAGAGCACATCACTCAGGAGCATCCAGGCGGGGCTTGAAGATCTCCAGAGAAGGGGACTCCACACCCTCCCTGGGCAGCCTCTGCCAGGGCTCTGCCACCCTCACCCCAAACAAGTTCTTCCTCACATTGGAGTGGAACTTCCCATGGTCCAGCTTGTGCCCGTTGCCCCTCGTCCTGTCACTGGGAACCACTGGAAAGAGTCCGGCTCCATCCTCCCTCAACCCACCCTTTAGATCCTTGTCAGCATGAATAAGGTCTCCCCTCAGCCTTCTCTTCTCCAGGCTCAAGAGCCCCAGCTCTCTCAGCCTTTCCTCATCAGGGAGATGCTCCAATCCCTCCAGCATCTCTGTTGCCCTACGCTGGACTCTCTCCAGCAGTTCCCTGTCTCTCTGGAACTGGGGAGCCCAGAACTGGATGCAGGATTCCAGTTGTGGCCTCCCCAGTGCAGAGCAGAGGGGGAGAATGACCTCCCTCAACCTGCTGGCCACACTCTTCCCTCTGCAGCCCAGGATCCCATTGGCCTCTTGGCCACAAGGGCCCATTGCTGGCTCATGGATGGTTTACTCTCCACCAGGACCCCCAGATCCTTCTCCTCAGAAGTGCACTCCTTCACAGAGATTTCTTGTGGGAGCACAGAAAACTGCTCCACTCTGTCCCTGCCGTGCACCCTTTTCTTGTCCCTGGGAGGGATGGCTGGGGTGCTCTGCCCTGTTCCCTGTAGCACTGATTGCACTGTGTCTGGACCCCCCGTGGTGTCCAGGTGAGCCCTGCTGTGGCTAACTGCCCTCTCTCTGCAGGCCCCAGCCTCAAGACGCTGTGTAAGCTGGCAGTGATTCAGTACAGCCTGGACCAGTCCTGCCTTCCCCACGACATCAGGTACAGCGTGCCTTGCTGGGAGGTCACCCTATGGGTGCTCCCTGTCCTTGGGGTGCTCCAGCCCTGGCTGAGGACTCCCTGGGGCTCTCCCTGGGCACTGTGCAGCTTCGGGGCGGGCTGGGCTGGAGACCACAGCCGAGGCTGGTGTGCAGCAGAGCTGCTCCAGCCGTGGGGCCCTGCGTTGGTGCTTTCTCTCAGTGTTCCCCATCCCATTGGTGTGTTACAGATGGGAGCTCTCGGCCATGACAACAAACAGCACCATCAGCCGCCCCATCGTCTCCTCCCAGGGCTGACGCCGGCTCATCCCTCTACCACCCTAACCCTCGGCCCCTCCACACGCTGACCTCTTGCTCCACTGCCTGCATGAGTGTTTTTTTGCCCTTTCAAGCAAGGAACGTGTGAGCTCAGTCTGTCTCGCCCTCGCCAGGCCTCCCTCTGCCCTTGTCACGCTTTGGGCAGCACGAGTGTGCAGGCAGAGCAGGCCCCCGGGGGAAGAAATCGTCTTACCCCAACAAATACAACTGTGAACTCCCCCCTCTCCTTGCTGATGGCTCCAGCGTCTCCTGCCCTCCTTCCCCTTCCCTGCGGAGCTGCAGCGGTGCTGGCCTGATCCCTGGCCGCTTCCCAAGGGCCTGGATCGACTCCTACCACCAGCCCCTGGCCCTGGGTTTGGCCTTGGGCTACAAACTGTTCCCTGTGCTGCCTCGAGAGAGCGACGGACCTCCCCACCTTCCTGGCATGGGATGACAGGACCCAGCCCCAAGCTGAGCCTGATGTGGGGACCTGGGCCCAGCTGGACCCTCTGCCCAGCTCCCATTGTAAAACAGCAACTGGGGGGATGGGGGGAAAGAGGGGGAGAGTTTTATAAATGCTGAGGCAGACATGGCTTCTGCTGCTCTGTGTGTGCCAACCTGGGGGGGAGAGAAAGTGTGGGAGGGGAGAAGCTGAACCCAGTGCTTTTCCCCCCATGGCTGTGGGGTGGCTTGTGGCAGCCATGGGCTGTGCCGGGTACAAGCCACAGACCTGGCTGAGGGGGGGAGATGGGGAGCTGACACCCCCCCCCCCCCC